CTTAGATGTGAATATAACGTTAGATCGACATAAAAAAAATGTCTGTTCGTGTGTGTGTATTTGTCGATCATAACGAATATTCGAAAAGGACAAAGGCGTAATATATTTCAACCGACCTCCTCCCCCGCCTCTTGCTATAAAAAAAGAAGAAAAAGGGTCATAAAAATGGAGAAAAAAAAAAAGAAAACCTTGAGTGTGTTTTATCAACTAGAACACGTGCGCCTGTTTGTAAGCGATCTTCGGTCGAGCCGCAGTCGTAAACACGGCATATATTAATGAGGTAACACTGTCGTTTGCCAACCTACTCCTCGGAGTCCTGCTCCATCATCGACCGACCACCTCGCGGCCAACGGAAGGTATCACAAGAAATTCACTGGACACACAACTCTTTGGCAACGTTTGCCATAACAAAGTCTTTTGCCAAGAGGACAGGTTTCAAGTAAATAAGTTCACTCGGTCCAGTTAGCTAAATAAACATTAGATATGGGCTGTATATTAGTTCAGCTTTTTCTTAATGCTCTTTGAAATGGCATGAACTCTGATTCCCCTGGATCAAGACCGTATAGTTTATCTCTGCTAAGCTTCGTTTAACTTTTATGCTTATTGACACAATTTTCTGCAAATATCTTTTGTAGGGGTGGCCGTTAATGATGAAGTAATAACTTCAATGTTAAATAAAACAGTAACATAATACGTAACATAAACAAAAAAACAAACGTCTAACAGTCACTCATTAACAGGTAATCAGCTAGTAATCAGCTAGTAATCCACTAGTAATCCGACAAATAGTCAATTAATACTTAACTAATAGTTAACTACCGTCAGTAACTTGACACCGCTATTAATACACCTCCATAATGTGGAAAACACGTTTATAAAACCAGGGTGTCACGCTCGAACATCGGTGTCGGCAGCAACCATTTTCTTCCTATATATATATATATATATATATATATATAATCGACTCTCCCGTCGCGTTCGACGTATGAGGGTCAGGCCGATAAGTCCTCAGGAAACCGACATCCCGACACCGGCACATGAGATTTGTTTATAGTGGTGAAGGCCTCCTGCAGGACCAGCCACACTTTTTGGAGGGACGAATACAGAAACCTGGTGCACCGAATGCATGCCACAAGGTTCCCAAACGACCCTCCGCAGGTTTTGAATTCAGAGTTGTCCTTCTCCTAGACCAGTTGCCATCCAAGGCTATAGAACCCAGTCTGTCCTGCTATTTTACCCATAGCTGGAGGGAGATGAAGAGGATACATACCTTTCCCAAGGGTATTAGCACGTAAGTGAATATATATATATATATATATATATATATATATATATATATATATATTAAACAAAATTCTCTCATAACGTCTGATGAGCCTAATAACATTATCATTGAAAGACGAAAGAAAATCACCATATTGATACATGTTTTATTCTTAATCCTTTCTAAGCTTTCGGCTTACATAAGCCATCATCGGAGATTAACTTAACGCTTCTCTTCATTTTCACTGTCACGTAGTCAAGTGTGACGTCATGAACCGCAATGCGATATTTATTTCCTGTGTTTCATATGCGCGATTCTATCGTTGCATAGCAATCTTCCGTGCAAACAAACTATCATTGTTGCAAAATTACCATATTTAATCTGTTAATATATTTATAATAAACACTGTTTAAAGTAAACACTTTAAAATAAACACTGTTTAAAACAAACACTGCTTAAAATAAATACTTTAAAATAAACAGTTTATAATAAACACCGTTTAAAATAAACACTGGTTAAAATAAACAATTTAAAATAAACACTCATAAAATAAACACTGTCTAAAATAAACACTGTTTAAAATAAACACCGTAAAAATAAACACTGTTTAAAATAAACAGTTTGAAATAAACACTGTTCAAAATAAACACTTTTAAAATAAACACTGTTTAAAATAAACACTTTAAAACAAACACTGTTCAAAATAAACACTGTTTAAAATAAACACTTTAAAATAAACACTGTTCAAAATAAACAATGTTTAAAATAAACACTGTTTAAAATAAACAATGTTTAGAATAAACACTGTGTAAAACCAACACTGTTTAAAATAAACAATGTTTAAAATGAACACTGTTTAAAATAAACACTGTTTAAAACAAACACTGTTTAAAATAAACACTGTTCAAAATAAACAATGTTTAAAATAAACACAATTTGAAATAAAATTTTAAAATAAACACTGTTTAAAATAAACTTTAAAATAAACAGTCAAAAATAAACACCGTTTAAAATAAACACTGTTTAAAATAAACAATGTCTAAAATAAACACTGTTTAAATTAAACACTGTTTAAAATAAACACTGTCTAAAATAAACACTGTTTAAAATAAACAATATCTAAAATAAAGACTTTAAAATAAACACTGTTTAAAAAACACAGTTTAAAATAAACACAGTTCAAAATCAACAATGTTTTAAATAAACAACGTTTGAAACAATTTTTTAAGATAAATACTGTTTAAAATAAACGCTCCGGCCTTCTTCAGGTGGTTGGACACATAGCTCAATGGATAACGGTGTTAGATCAAGCACACATGGCACAGTTGATAAAAGCATTAGTTAGATCTAGTGACAGGACCCAAAAGAGTGTGAGTTCAATACCTGGTTAAGGCGGTGGAGAACTTGGAGAGGGGATTTAACAGGCGATAACTGATAACTGACATCCATTAGACATGGCATGTGGAACTAGAACAGTCTACTCCAGCGAGCGAAATAAAGGGTTCAGTACGACATTCCAACCACCTGAAGAAGATCGAAGGGTACAATGGCCGAAACGTTGTGATAAATATGGCAACAAAGATGAGGACAATAGTCCGAATAATATAAATAGTATACATAATACCTCATCTCATAAATATAGACAGATATTTTAGTTTGTTTGCTATATAACGCATATAGACAGATTATGGTCAGTGTCTCATTATACAGAGGTGTGACCTTATGTAATTTTGACTCAGGTTATCGTATACTGAACTTTATTTACCGATAGGCCTAAATTTTGGGCCACTGGTAGCCCAGCGTATGTTTAGGGTCAACCTATCAGAATTTTGACCTTGAGGTCGTCTTGCATGCCACAATTTGCGTCATCTAATTCTATGCCTTTAACGAAAGCTATTAAAGAACGCAACAATAAAGAAAAACAAAGAACATAAATAAGTACTGATATTTTTTGAGTTGATGTTGACTTTAATGCTTTTATCAGTAGACCTGACGAAGTTGAAATGTTTTCCAAGTTATCCTGATACAATATACGCTACCTACCGATGTATATCGTCGGTTGTTTGCTATACAATGGATATAGAAAGATATTACGGTTAGTGTCTCAATATACAGTGGTGGGAACTTAATGTAGTTTTGGCACAATTTATTGTATAGGCCTATCTCAGAATTTTGAGCTAAAAACCTTCAGGTCGACTTGTACGCAGTAATTTAGAGTAATGAAAAAAGACCTCCGAAGTATTTTACAAGCACAAAAATTACGATTTGAATGAAAGTTTGCAATGGTATTTGTGAAGTGAGAAACACATTCACTGTGATTCCCATAATAATTACGTTAGGACTCAGAAATTGTATGTGTATGGAATTGATTTAGACAACGATAAAATAAACTCGTCTCTCCGCTCGTGTTTTTAAACCTCTAGCTAGAATATTAAACATTTTCAGTAAGCGCTTTTCAATTACTTATAGCAAAAAGCAAACTGAGAGCCGGGTTAATGACATTGAAATCAAGGCCCAGGTGAGACGTTATCGGTGGTTTTATAACCAGCCTTTCTATCGACTGGGGAAAAATTGACAGATACCCAACAAAAATGGGGAAAATAAACAGTTGCGGCTCGAATAAGTCAGGCGATGATATGGAATCCTTGCTACTTTGTTGACATCATCATCATGTTATCGTTATTATTATTATTATTATTATTAAGTAAAGAGAGAAAAGGAGAAAGACTGTACTCTTATCGTAGTAGTGGTGATGGTGTTAGACCTGCCATTATTATTATTAGTAGTAGTAGTAGTAGTATTAAGTAAAGAGAGAAAAGGAGAAAGACTGTACTCTCATCGTAGTAGTAGTGGTGTTATTAGACCTGCCATTATTATTATTATTATTATTATTATTATTAAGTAAAGAGAAAAAAGGAGAAAGACTGTACTCTCATCGTAGTAGTAGTGATGGTATTAGACCTGCCATTATTATTATTATTATTATTATTATTATTATTATTATTATTATTTTTATTATTATTATTAAGTAAAGTGAGGAAAAGAGAAAGCCTGTATTCTTATCGTAGTAGTGGTGATGGTGATAGACCTGCCAATATTATTATTATTATTATTATTATTATTAAATAAAGAGTGGAAAAGAGAAAGACTGTACTCTCATCGTAGTAGTAGTGATGGCGTTAGACCTGCCATTATTATTATTATTATTATTATTATTATTAAAAGAAAAGAGAAAAAGAGAAAGACTGTACTCTCATCGTAGTAGTGGTGATGCTGTTTGACCTGCCATTATTATTATTATTATTATTATTATTATTAAGAAAAAAGAGGAAAGGAGAAAGACTGTACTCTCATCGTAGTAGTGGTGATGATATTTGACCTGTCATTATTATTATTATTATTATTTAAAGAGAGGGAAAGAAAAAGACTGTACCCTCATAGTAGCAATGGTGATGGGGAGAGAGATGCCATTTATTATTATTATTGTTGTTGTTAAGTAAAGGGATGAAAAGGAAAAGGCTGTATTACTATCGTAGTAGTGATCATTGTGTTAGACCTGCCATTATTATTATTATTATTAATTAATTTAAGAGAAGAAAGAAGCACTGTACTTACATCGTAGCACTGTTGATGGAGAGAGACTACCAGTTATTATTATTATTGTTATTATTATTTTTATTATTGTTATTATTATTTTTATTTTGTTCATCGGCGTGTTAATGTATACAAAAGAATA